AAGAAAAAATTATTTTTACCTGAGAATATAATGGAAAAACAAATTTGATAGAAAAATTTAAAAAAAAAATTATTTGATAAGCTAAAATATTATCAGAAAAAATTGGTGTAAATTAAATTTTTTTCCATTGCCACTTTTCGATTTCCTAGGCAAAATCAGAATACTATCCTCTGGTGGTATTCTGAAGTAGATAAATTCTTACAATTTTACACATTACATCAGATTCCTATGCAAATGAGAAGCTTATGCAATTTTTTTACAAACACATGCGAAACATAATCTTCTTTATTAAATCCCATGAAAACTTTCCCATGCAAAATTTTAAAACCCCTACCAAACAAATTAAACACATCCAAAATACTATCTGTCAACCATGATGTTTCACGTTATGCCACTCATAACCCATGAGGGGATTTGGGGCTGCTGGCCCCAGCTACACATCCAACCACTGTTACTTACCCAATTATTTCAAGCTTAGATCCTGAATTTGGCAAGAAAACGAGTGCTTTAATTATGATACTGGTTTGGCATATAATTACTGTCATTATAATAACTTAAAACAAAAGACCATCAACGGTTCAAAACGCTCATTAACTCACAGTCACAGGATAAATGGTACGAAAAGATGTGTCATTTGGATAGCACATGAATGGAAATTCCACTGGAAGTAAGACAAAGATTCTCAGAAGGAGCTTGTACTAAAAGAAGCTTGCTTTAATATAATTACAGTGCATAACACCCTCCACATCTTCTTCTTTTTTTTTTTAATTTTTTTTTGGAACCCTTTTAATGATTTCACATTCCTTTGTTAAAATAAAGAAAGTAAAAGATATATGACTAGGGGAAAGGAGAAGCAGTGCCGTGGAGTGAAGACAAGTCCACAAGAAATTGACACAAAGAATGCACAAAAACCACAATTTGTCAACACAAGGAATAATAATAAGGCAATGAGAATGATTATTGCCAACAGTGCCCAACACATGAAAATTGCAAAATAAAAATGAGAATCATGAAGGTCTAAAAATAGAAGAACCAGAGCATAAATAAAAACAAGAGTGTAATTGATGATAGAGGGGAGGGGCCTAAGGAAGGGTGCTGAATACTGATGGTGGTTTCTCAGACCCAATCCAAACCATCATTGCAAATCTTGGGATGGCCTAGCCCACCATCATTTTAGATAACCTAGAGGGAAGACCCATTATTGTCCCTCTCGTGTTCATTATGCCAAATGTTATACCTAATATGCCCTTTTGCTCATGCACACAAGGAAAGGGCGGGGAAGAAGAGAAGAATCAGCGGAAACAAAAAACCCCATTCAAAATAATCATTCACATGACGCCATAAGCATCATCATAGAAACAAAACATGAAATCTTTTAGGCTGCTAACCAGCCGCCTTCCATGCTTACACATGCATGATTGTTGTGTCAGAGAGAGGAGGGACACGTCCCCCACCCATAATATGCCCCTCTCTCTTTGTTCATCTTCTCTCAATTTTGCTCTATAAATTAACACCCTCATTGTTCGTTTTGTCCCACACTTACCTTCACAAACTCATCCTTTTCTCCTACTGCTGCTACTGGCCTTCCAGAGTCCAGTTTGTTCAGTCGACCAAGTTTTCAGCTTTCAAAAGGTGATCTTTTTCGAAAAGTTCAAGAGAGAGGAACACCTCTGTTTCCCTCTCTCTATATATCATGTTTTTGTTTTGTTTTCTTCCTTACATTCATTAAGAAAGAAAGACAGGGTATTGTATTTGGAAACCCATTTGAACATTGCAAGTAGTATTTGGCTTAACTTATTTCTATATATCTGGGGCCAAATCATCTTTATTATGTCTCTTGTTAGGCTTTTTCTACCTTTAAGTGTTGACATGGCTTTAAATTTTCAGGTGTCTCGGTTTTAAATCAGCTTAAATTTTTGGAAGAATGGATTCTATAGCCTTTGTTTTCCCTTTAGATTATTATTATTTTCATTCTTACAAAAAGACCCTATGAATGATTTCTTTGTCTTTCTCTGGGTCCAAGGTCTAAGAAAACATCTCATTTTTAATTATACATATAATATAAAATATGGGGGTGTTATGGTCCCTCTTCCCAGCCACATTTATAATTACTTTAACAACTTCAGGCTATGTGTTCATGTTAAATCATTTGAATACCTCTTATGCGGTTATATGCGTGTGACAACAAGAACCTTGTTTGTTACATAGATATACCAACACACAGAAGATCTTCTTATGAAGCTTGTCCCTTTTATGTGTGACCTTTATCCTTTTCTTCCCTCTTGGGACAGCCGAAAGAAATTATTATTATTATTATTATTTTATTTTTTTGCTTTCAAGCAATTGCAGATTTTGGACAACTATTATTCTCCCTCTGTATCTCCTCCTTTAGTTGAAGAGACAACCCATATGCTCTTTTTATTTGACAGGGTGGTCCAAATGACTCAATTGTTCTACCTCCACCTGCTATGCTTTTCCCTGTTGTAATTGGCTTCTTCGTTTAGGAGTCATAATTATATCTACCAAAGCAAATCATAAAGCAACACATTAGAAAAGAAGCTTGTATATAATTGTTTTTCCCTTTTGGATTTCAATCAATTACCAAGGTGTTCTTCATTTTTTTCGTTTTGTTAATGATGGCATTTCCTTCTTTTTTGTTCACGAGCTCTCTTCTTTTGCTGAATTATGGTTCTGGGGCCAGTTAATAATATTATCTGAGAATCCTAATCCTATTTGTTCCAACACCACTTATTTTATTTTATTTCTTCAGGTTTCAGGACAGGGCACTGCGAATATGGAGAGGCTGAACTCAGAGCTGTACTTCCAGAACTATCACATAATGAAAGAGAATGAAAGGCTAAGGAAGAAAGCTCAACTTCTTAATCAAGAGAATCAGGCACTACTGTCTGAACTCAAACAGAAGCTCTCCAATGGTAACCCAAAAACCAATGCTACAAACGCCATTCATGGCTCAAGTTCCAGTCAGAATCCTTCCAGTTCCAGCAATTAATCCTGTTAAGGATAAGGACCATCATGACCCCACTAGGAGACTTTTTTTTCTTTTTTGTGTAAAACCAAAGTCAGCACAGTAGTAGTTGTAGTCTCTGTTGCATAGGGCAATACTTCCATTTGCTATCAGGGTCCATTTCCTTGTTATCTTCTATCCGAGGTTTAGATATGAATTTCTGAACAACATGGATGTATGATGTAGTAGGCTATCTGCCTGAAAGGAATATAAATTTATGTTTAGCTCTCATTGCCTCTGCTCGTGTGTATGTGTGATTATAAAAACTTTAATACTCACGCATAGGATTTGCTTCTTCTGTTTTGGGTTGCGAAGAGATTTCTCATAACTGGTCAAATAAATAGACTCGACTTCTTTATTCTCTGAGTTTATTCATGCTTTTGTTTTAAAACTAGCTAGTCTAATGTAAATGCTATGGCTATATGAGTACAAAAACAATATAACTAGACTCAAACTCAAGGATAAGTGAATTCCATAAAATGTATGAACATGCCCATGAAGCAACGCAAAATGGTTCATCAGGAGTCAGGACTGATGTAATCATGTTTTTTTTTTTTTTTTTTTTTTTTGGGTTGGCATAACAAACAAATAACCATTACTTGTGCATTGTCCCCAAGAGGGAGAGAGTGAAAGTCATATTCTTAAGAATACACATATGCCTTCATATTAATTTCATTATTTTGTTTGAAAAGATGGTCCAATCATAAATAACATTGTGAACAGATTCACTAATTAAAGTCAAAGGAAAATATTCTATTCACCACTCAGGGTTGAGGAAAAAACTTACCATTATATTTCTCATTTTAATTATATTTAATTACAAATTAATTATTAAAATGGTGGGATAAAGTAATCTAATGTTTCTCACTCCATGTATTTCTTTTTTTTTTTAAAAAAAAACTCTTAGAATGCCATGTTTCATTCTAACTTCAAACATGATAAATTTATTTCGAAAAGCATTATTAGTATTTTTTTTTTAGGTTTACGAATATTACGTCACACGAGGAAGTTTATACTATGGGAGAGAAATAATACAAGTGGGCCCATCAATTTATATATATCAAAGTAATGCACAAATTTTGATATTTTGTGAAATATGAAGCAAATATCCTATAACATGATCTGATTTCCCCCCTTTTTTTACATGTAATTAGTCAATATTACTAAATCGTAATATCTTAGCCTGTGGTCCAAATACAGTTACAAAATTACAATAAGATCTATAAGTTCTTAAATTTTTATGTTTTTTAGAATTATTTATTAAAATTATTTAGTCTACTTTTTACACTTTGCAAGAAAAAAAATCTTAAATTTGTGTTCAATAATAAATTTGATAATTAACATATGATAATAATTGTTAATATATTCGATAACTCAATTAATTAATTAATAACAACCACTAATATTTTTATGTAAATAATATTATTTTTTAATAATTAATTATATAATCGAATGATAGACAGTTTCATATTTATTATAAACAGCCATAAGCCAATAACTTATCTCTAAATAGTTAATAACAATTATTAGATCATTATTTATCTTTTAAATATTAAAAATAATGATTGTGTGATATGAACGATTCACAATTAATATTAGTGAAATGGACGATTCAGATCTATTAAAATTAAAATTTTCTATTAAATAGTAAAAAATATTTGTTTTAATTTAAAGGAAAAAAATTAAATTATAATTATAAAGATATTATTTAGTTTTCTGAGATAAGTTATATTTATAATCTATTTTTTTACAATTTTTTACAATTATTTTTATTACAAAATTAAATAAACAGTTACAAAATAATTTCAATAAAAATTATTTTTATTTTAATCTAGTGATAATAAAATATTTGTAAAAAAGTTATAAATATAATACTTTCATTAAATTACTAACCAAAAAAAAATAAAAATTACTTTCGTTAAGAGGAATAATATAATATCAAAATAACGTCAGAAACCACAAGAGCTTCCAACAACGCTTGGTCTCCAATCCCCAGTCTTACCCAACGAAGAAACCCCAAAAATTGGAGGTTGAACCTTCTCAAAACCCTAATTTCACAACACCAATTCTCTTCCCTCAATCAGATCTCAATCACATGGCGAAAGAGTTTAAGGTCCCACCGGTGGCTTTTCCATCCGCAGGAAACCCCACCGCCGCCGGTCCAAACCTCCAGCAGCGGCGTGTACCTACGCCTCCGTTCCAACCGAACTCCGGCTCCGGCATCCCCTTCATGTCCTTCGACATAGGCTCCGTCGCCGCGTCCACCTCTTCAGGTCCAATTTACACTGGCCCCGTCGTGGGCGGTGGCTCTGCCAACTTCGACGACGAGGAGCCTCTCCTCGACGAGCTAGGGATCCACCCAGAGCAAATCTGGAGCAAAATCAGATCGGTGCTTAATCCATTTCGGGTAAATCACACAGTTCACAAGGACTCGGATCTATCGGGGCCCATTCTACTCTACATGTCATTTTGCCTCTTCCAGTTACTCGCCGGAAAAATCCAATTCGGTGTGATCTTGGGTTGGATCGTGGTTTCTTCCATATTCTTATACGTGGTTTACAACATGTTGGCGGGTCGAACCGGTAATCTGAACCTGCATACCTGCACCAGTGTCGTGGGTTACTCTATGTTGCCGGTGGTGATTTTCTCGGCTATGTCGCTGTTTTTGCCTCAGGGCGGGTTCTTCGCGCTCGCTTTCGCCGCAGTTTTTGTGTTGTGGGCGACAAGGGCTTCGACTGGTCTCGTGGTCTCGCTCGCGGATGGCGGGGATGAACATCGCGGGTTGATAGCGTACGCGTGTTTCTTGATTTACACTCTGTTTTCGTTGCTTGTCATATTCTAGGCACGTGATTGGCGCTGAGACTTTTGGATCGCAGTGCTTTTGTGTCTTTCCACCCCTTTGCATTTTGATCCTTGTGATTTTATCTTAGCAGTCATACTGTGATGTAGAAAATGAATATATTGACCTTGATGGAAAGTTCTTTGTTTTAAAAGGTATCCCTTATTGACATGTTTGTGTGTGTGTGTGTGTGTTGTGTAAGTATATATATTTTCTTACATTTTTGTTCTGATTTTGAAAAACTATGTTCCTTTAGTTTTTCAGTAGATCTTCGAGCAGGCTAGCACACATTACACAAGTCCAATCCAATTATGGTGTTTTTCTGTATGGTGCCAGAAAACTATATGTCAAACTGGATTGCATCAAAAGTTATTTACTTAATAGCTAATTTGGTGCTTATCTAAATTATACTTAGTTTGAAAATTTGGGCCCTTAAATTTATCATCATCAGAATGACTGCTTAGTGATCCTAGCTTTTGGCATTGGGGCTTGGGTTAGGGAATTTCAACTCAGAAATAACGTGCCAAACTTGATTTTTCATACTATAGTCACAACTATTTAACTCTGGTATGTAATTTTTTATAAGGGTGACAACGTATATATTCATTTTGATCGATTGATTTGACAAATTACATATACTTATGAGTATGACCTATGAAGCACCGATACGCGTTTTCGATACGTTCTCGATGATACAGGATGTCAATTACCAAAGGATACGTGTCCGATACGCGTATCCGATACGTTGAAAAAAAAAAATTAAGAAGTATCGGTGCTTCATAGAGTATGACAACATGTCACAACATCCATCGGAGTTGGTCATGATGGAATATACTTGTATTAGTAACATCTTGAAAAGCTATAGAGTGCTGTCTTTAAGTTTAAGGAGCTTCAAGTTTTGGCCATTCTATTTGAGACTTTTATAGCCAAAAGTATTTCCACTATCAAAGTCTTCCATGGTTAAACTGACCTTTAGGTATGAATTTTAAGTTCATTTGCCAGCTTGCTGAAACTTCTAACTGAATCTTATTCCCATTGGATTGTAATTCCATGACAAATTAATCATGATATTTGTATCTCTGAAACTTAGGTTCAAGTTTAGATATGATATTTTGTACCCCTTTTCCCTCCTTATTTAGAAGTGTAGATCTGATCTAAAATAGGGATTTTGTGCTTTTAATTTGAATTGCTAGGGACAAATGATTTGACTATTTAAAATCTGTGTGTGGAGTAAATGATTATGAGAGCCTAATTTCTTAGATGCTATTTATAATCAGAGAAATTACTGAGCAGGATGATCTTTTTGCAGGTTCAATTTGTAATTGAATTTAGTCTTTACTCGTTAGCGTACTCATTATATATATAGAATGGCATTTCTAGAGTTTGTAGATAAACTATTGATTTGAAATTATGCTTCTACTTTCTTATAAAATCGTTTTGTGGGGTATCATAAGCAAACGATATATCAGAAAGTTAGGTTGAAATATTGAAATTTTGAGGCTGATAAGCACGCAGCCTCTTCCCTCTCATATTGGTGGAAAATTTTTGCTTGGCTTTATGAAGCCTGCTGTGGTAGAAGAGAATTTTGCTTCATTCGTATAATTGCATAGAGAAATTCATCATTATGCTTCATTCATTTAGATGCATATAATTTTCATTATGCTTGCCCTTGTGCCTAGTGAAATTCATCCTGACTCTCTACAACTCAAGATTCATGCTACCACTTACTTCATTTTTTGAGGGCGCCATTTGTTATGTGGATGGATGTCCATTCGCTGAGCATCCTAGAGTTAAGTATGGTATACTTGAAAATCTGAGGTTTACAAGATTGTAGACAAATTTGATAACAAGGAAATCCTTTACCAACTAGGTATTTTGTAAAGTACTTATGATTTAATTTTAATATCGTATCCAAGAGCTAGTGACCGAAATGCTGCTGCTTGTGAACTCTAGAAATTATGTGTATGGTACACACAGGTGTTTTCCCCCTTTATTCCATCTTATGTGCTTCGTCCTGGAAACTCCTTACCCCTCTTTAAGTTTACAATATAATTACAGAAGAATTTTATACATGCTCTGTCGTTGAGATATATTATTTATTATACATACTTATTGTCAGAAATAGCATTATACTAACAAATAACAAATAGTATCGTACTGCTTTTTTTGTCTGTTAATTATTACAGAGCAATATAGTAATGGATGGCCATTAATTAGCAATATTGAATCAGAGTCAATGAGTTATATTAACTATTTAAATAATAACTATATTATGTAAGATTAAGTAGACATTAACAATTAGTGCTGTAATTGTTGTCATTTGAGGTTAGATCTTTCCCATAGTATGATAATGTAACTCTTGTAGCATACAACTTTGTAAGAAATCATTCGTTTGAACCTTCCTAAATGGTATTAAACTATTAGGGCGTGTTTGTTACGTGGAATTTTTTTGAAATGCTGGGATTTTGAGATTGGGAATAATAAAGTCCCATGTTTGGTACATGGAAATGAAATTTTTTTTCCTGGAAAACCTTAATCCCAGGATTGATGTTTACATGCCATTCCCAATTTCGAATACCAACGAAAATGTGGTATTTGACAAATCCCAACCTCTGGGAAAGTTGAACCTAATTTCTGAGACAAAAATACCCCGAACCCTAGATTTGATGTTTGAAACAAAATGGAGGACCTCTGAAACATATCGTGTGAAACAAAATGGAGGACCTCTGTTTTTCCTTTGTATGGTTCATACGTTTTTTTTTTTTTTTTACAAATTCAATGAATCCAATTGTTCCATCTTGCTTTTCATCAAAGTACCAGATAATCCTCTAGCATTTCTCAACTATCAGCGCACAAATCCAGAAAGCTCCTTGGAACCCAACTTTTTCATGAAGCTCATCCCTTTCTGAGGTGCAATACAAAACTCCCAGTTTTTCCATCACCATTTTGATTTCACACATTCTCTGGTGCCATTGGACTCATTTTGTTGGTGGCTAAACTCAGATTCTGCAACCTGCTCCTCATTTAAATAACAATCTTCTTAAACACAAAGGAAATCAATATGCTAAACTTAACTATCAGCGCACAAATAATCAATAAAAAATAATCCATTATATTAAAAAACAAAAACGAGGCGAAACGAAGGCCACAGAGAAAAAACGAGGCTGGAAATATGGGAGAGAGATAGATGAGGGGAGGGTTATTTTATAATTTGGCCAATATTCTCATCAATATTAAACAATCAACCAAAAATAGAGTCAGTAAATTTAACCAAATAATCCTGGTAAAATTTTGACATACCAAACAGTTTTTTTGCAATATTCCTGAGTAATTTACTTTCTCATCATATTCTTGGAAATCATGATTCTCATACACTAAAAAATTTCTCCTCTACCAAAAACGCTTCTTTAGGGATCAACGGTTGTCAGGTTTTCCATAACAGTCAGTTGCATTTTTTTTTTAAGAAGAAAAAAAAAATGAAAAAAATAATGGCTTACAGACATATTATATTGTTGTATGTATATCTATGGTTTACCAAACAGATGCGTCCGATGCATTTAAAATAAACAATAGTTCACTGTCAAAATTGTCCAATGATTTCCATTTGATGTAGAACGGCTATGAAGAGAACTAGGAACCTTGGCTACCAACAAACAGGAATCCTCAGAATTTTAAAACAGAGAATCCTGGGGATTCTACTCAATAATACTATTACTCAATATCAAAGTCTGAATAACATTATTTATACACTTGACAACACAGAATCCTGATGAACTCTCTTGAGTCTCCATCTGACACCGCCTCTCCTCCACCTGGTGCTAATGCATTGGCCACAAGGACGTCGTTGTCTTCAGCGCAAAGTTTTGCCGCCAAATGGACCTGTCGGAGCTTCGCCACCGGGTCACAGCATGGAAAAATTCCTAATTCCCATTAACGCCACCTGAAAACACCCTTGTAAGTCACAGAACCAGGGCTTACCAGAGCTTGTGGATGACCAGAAGACTAATTTCAAAGACTAAATAGTACACCGCAACACCCCATGAAACCCACATTAAAACACAGCCCCTCCAGATCTCCACAGCCACAAACTAGCCACCCTCACACTCCAAAAGCAGACACCCATGAGCAGAGAAACCTCCAGCCAAGCTGAAGAGCTCATTTACCTATTCCTTTGCCAAAAAGAGAAAAATATGGAATATAGGTGAAATAATCGTAAAAGTGAGGGTGGTATAAAAATTGGGATTAATATTTCTCATATTGTAGAAGATAATTTTATTTCCTATACTTACATAAAATTTATGGAGCCCATTTTTTTTTTATTTTTCGTTCTATGGGTCCCACATATTTTTATGTATGTGTAGAAGTGTAGGAGATAAAACTATTTTCTATAATATAAAAAATATTACTTTTTACCATATTTAATGATGTATGAAAATATTAGCTGAACCATACACCTAATTACTCTTTATCCAAATATGTCTTTGTCTTTGTCTCCACCCTCTAATCATGAGCCTCTTCCTTGACCTCCACACACCGGCTATCACCACGCCTCAGCTCAACCACCGCGATGCAGTCCATAGCCACCCCCTGCAATGTAAATAAATGGCGTACTGTAGGAGTGCAAAGTAAATAAGCCAAATGACTATTTTATGCAGAGTAGGAATCAATTTATATATCAGTGTTAAGTAAAACTTACGCTTGTATTATTAAATAATAAAAAATTACTTCTCGTTAAACCCGACTAGCGAATGTGAGGTAGAGAGACAATCTTTGAAAGCAGCCTTACCATTGCACAATTGCAAAGAGGCTTTTTCCTGGATTGGAATCCATGACCTTTTAATCATGAAGGAACAACTTTATTACTATTCCAGTTCGCCCTCTTTTATATTATTAAATGATAATATTATAAAATTTAATATTAGGTTGGAAGGTTTTATTTTATATATATATATATATATCACAAATTAATGTAATATATATTTTTAAGATATAGAAAAATAAAAAGTTTTTAAATATTTATGTTCATACCCGCATAAGTTAATCATTTCTTCTTATAAATAAGCGGAAAAAGTTTGTCCTTCTAAAGGATATGATTTTTTATCATTTTAGATGAAACGATTTTATTTTAGTGCATAATTAATGATTTTTTTTTATAATCTCTCTGCATTTTCTCTCTCTTTATAA